CATGGACCCCGTCATCATAACGCCGGATGACGTAGCTGAGGCAGTCCGTAGGGCCCCGAACTGGAAAAGTCCGGGGCTTGACGGGCTGCATCACTACTGGCTGAAGGGGTTCATGGTGTGTCACGCTATGCTCGCCCGACAGTTTCAAGAGGCTCTCAACCAGAAGTCGCTCCCAAGCCTCTTCACTACTGGGATCACTCATTTGGTTCCTAAAGATCAGGGTGCCACAGACCCGAGCAAATACCGCCCCATCACGTGTCTACCGACTATATACAAGACACTAACATCAATTTTGAGCTCGTGAATCGCTCGTCACCTGGCCTCAAATCAGGTGATGTCGCGCACTCGAAATGGATGTCGGGGCGGCGGTCGTAGAACCAAGGAACCACTCCTCATTGACGCGGTCATTGTCAAAATGGTGAAACGTAACCATCGGAACTTCTCCCCCGCCTGGATAGATTACAGAAAGGCATTTGACTCGGTGCCCCATACATGGCTAAAGAGGGTCCTCGAGCTGTACAAGATTGACTGTACAGTTCTAGACTTCCTCGGGCAGTGTATGGGGCAGTGGAGTACGATCCTCTGTCATCTAGGCGAGCGGATGACGGCTGCGGAAAGCCGCATAAGGATAAAAGTATATTCCAGGGCGACTGTCTGAGTCCAATCTGGTCCTGCCTCTCTTTGAACCCTCTCAGTACTTTACTGGAGGGCTCCGGGAGGGGATTTCAGCTTCGGAAAGGAGGTACAAAAGTGACCTACCTTTTCTACATGGATGACCTCAAATTATTCGCCTCCAGTCGCTCCCATCTTATGGAATTGCTAAGCTATCAATTGTAAATTTAGCAATTCTATTAGAATGGAGCTGGGGACGGATAAGTGTGCGGTCCTTCATGTTGAAAGGGGAAGGGTTGCTAACTCTGAGGGCATAGACTCACGAGGTGACCGACATGTGGGGTGGTATGCCGACCAAAATTATTCCTGTAGTCGTCTCTGCGAATGGGCTAATCCCAGTCAGCCTCTCGGGTCATCTGAGGCGAATGGGACTCCGTGACGGACCGCTCCGGGCTCAATTGCAGAAGGCGGTGCTCCTCGATACTTTCTCTCCCTTTCCCCCTAACCCTCGGCCGTTTGGTCTCCCCTGCCGAGGGCCTCCATCTGGTTGGGCTTTTATTTATTTATGTATTATTTATTTATTTGTGCTGGTATATGAAATATATATTTATGTATATTTATCATTTCCTTTTATATATACATTCAGCCCAACCTGATGAGAATACACTACTAATACCACATATTAATAATAAAGTCATTTATTCTATATCTTCACTTTCTTTTTTACATTTCTGTATTTGTTAGTAAGTTATATTTTAAAATTATGAAAGAAATACTTATAATAAATGTTAATATTGCTTATGAAATATGGACCCCTGTTTGGGTAAAGGCCTCCTCCATCCTTTTCCATGACTCCCTATCCTTGCCAACTTCATCCAGTCCTTTCCTGCGACGTATGTTATGTCACCAGCCCACCGTCTTAATTGTCGACCGACATTCCTTTTCCCCTTTGGCCCTTTCCATAGTGTGGCTTCAATGGTCCATCTTCTATCTGGGTATCGTGAGATGTGGCCGGCCCATCTCCACTTTAATAAGAGTGCGTGCTTGATCTGTAAGTTTGGTTTTTTGACGAATAACTTGGTTCTTAGTTTTATGTATTCTTCTAATTCCCAACATGCTTCTTTCCATTGCTGTTTGACTGCATTTGATTTTTTGTTTAATTTTGTTTGTGAATACCCAAGTTTGGCAGCCATACAGCAAGCAGGATAATAGGTTAATTATGTCCTTTTCATGTGCAAGTTGTAGTTCCCTTTTAGGATTTCTCTTAATGCCCATAATTTCTTCCAAGTTGCGTTAATTCTTCTTGTTACTTCTTCTTCATTGCTTGATGTTTTAAATGAAATTTGAAACGTCAAGCAATGAAGAGAGAAAAATTTGAAAGAAAAAAAGAGAAATTTGTTTACCGAAGTAGATGTATTCGCTGACATATTCTATATTGTTGCCTTTTATCGCTATCGGGCGTTCACGATTGTTGGTTATTATCTTAGTTTTACCTGCATTTATTTTCAGGCCGATTTTAGAGCTTTCGCAGTCAAGTGATGAGATCATTTCCTCTAGGTCTTTGGCAGTTTCAGCTATTACAACAATGTCATCAGCGAACCTCAGATGGTTTAAATAGTGTCCGTTGATATACACTCCCCTGTTTTTCCATTCTAGTTTTTGAAAAAGACTTTCAAGTACTGCTATAAAGAGTTTTGGGGATAGAGGATCTCCTTGCCTGACGCCTCGTTCTATGTTTATTTTTCTAATTTTATTCTGCTCGTACTATTTTTATAAATATATTTCAAGATTTTGATGTATTTAGAATTAATGTTTGATTGTTGTAATGCGTTGTTTGAACAGTGACTGATACTGTCAAAAGCTTTGCTGTAGTCAATCAAGGCCACATACAGAGGTCTATTACAATCATTTAATTTAATCATTTAATTTAATTTAATTCAATCATTTATGTCCAGAGTTGACTTTTGTAACAACTCTATTGTGCGTAGTTTGGCAGATAGGCAGATACAGACTGCAATGTACAGATGTTGGTTGAAAGTTGCTGGGTGACGATAGACTTTTGGAAATGTTGCAACATGTCTATTCTTGCTATACTATATATATATATATATATATATATATATATATATATATATATATATATATATATATATGCTATATTATATTTTTTGTAAATATGGATCTTTGTCTGCAATAAAGGATTATTATTATTATTATTTTATATCGATCTCCCTTAATGCTCCTTTTAGGGTTTTAAGATGCGGCGTCGGCTGATCGCAAGATGCCGCTCTTTTGTTTAAATTGTGAGGTGGCGACGTACTATCGCTGTCGTATCCAAAATTACGGCTTTTTGAATTTTGTTCCTCACCCTCACTGAAATGCCCAGCTTAGCTAAATTGTCAGTAAGGGATTTAGGAACAACTCCCGTGGTAGAGAGAATCAGCGGGACGATAAGTACCTGCTGCTGTCGCCTTAACTATCGGATTTCTTCAGCTAACCGCTGGTACTTAATCAACTTTTCAGTACTGTACTTCTGTCATTATGTGAGTTTGGAATACCAATATCCAACAACCACGTCCGCTTCTCCTCCTTTTCTACCAATATTATGTCCGGTCGATTATGCTCAACGGTCCGGTCAGTTAAAACTGACCGGTCCCAATAAAGTTGGGCAGAATCATTCTCGACTACCGGGGATGGATTGTATTTCCAGTAGGGTTCTGTCTCCTATTTTACTGCCAGCTCTTGGTGCACAATTTTTGCCATGTTGTCATGGCGCTAGGTGTACTCGGTTCCAGCAAGAGCATGGCAGCCGCCAGTTATGTGCTGGATGGTATCTGGCTTTTGATGACACCGTCGGCACTGGTCATCTTCGATACCTGTTTTGACAATGTACTTAAGGTAATTTTTGGCAGGCACAACCTGATCCTGAATCGCCACCATGAATCCCTCAGTTTCAGCAAAGATTTTACAATGTCTGAGCCAGTTGTTCGTCGCTTCAATGTCGACATATGGTTGACTCAGTTCATTAGCGAATCGACCGTGAAGAGGTTTTGAGGCCCATTGCTGGAGTTTGGCTTCTTTGTTTTCAGCGTCAATCTCTAACGGTGGGAAATTGTCGGCATGAAGAAGATCGAGTGTTGTTAGACGGTCATCAGCCTTTAATACTGCTTGATGCAGGGGAGAGGACGTTTGCGAAAGGAAATAACTTCGAAGACTCTGAATCTGTTTAGCACACAATCTACGAATATCTATCAGTTCTCCACCGCCATTGGCTCGAGATAGAGTTACCCGTTCAACGGCTGATTTTGGGTGATGTATAAGATATTTAGTAAGCATGACGCGAGTAGACCTCTTAATTTTTGCCAGTTCAGTATCTGACCAGTTAACTAGTCCAAAAGAGTAAGTTAATACTGGGGTGGCAAAGGTTGCTTTATTGAGGTTGCGTCCATTTAGGACTGAACTGAGGATTATTATTATTTACGGTAAGTGTTTTCACTTCTCAGCTCTAGGCTGGATTTCAACAACATTTACGGGCCGAAGCCAAAGCAAATGCAGCGTGTGGTGTGTAGTGTAGTTCATGTGATTTGATGAGGTCCTATTTAGTTTTCTTCTATCTGTATGAATTTCCTAACTATTCTGCATGTATTTAATATAGCTGCTTTTTGAAGTGTAGTATATAGAGTTTCTTTTAGTTGTAATAATTTTAAGCTACGGAGGAGATGATTTAGGATGACACCTGTTGTGGAGAGGACTATAGGGACCACATATACTTTTTCTTGTTGCCAGATTCTAGTCACTTCATCTTTAAGTTCTGCGTACTTACTATTTTTTTTCAGTTATCGTCTTCTGCAAGTTGTGTGTGTTGGGGACTGCAATGTCTATCAGGTAAGTAATATTATTTATTTTATCATGTAGAATTATATCTGGTCGGTTATAGTGGATAGGACACTATCGGTGAGAATGCCGCGGTCGTAAAAAAGTTTATGTGTGGTGTTTTATAGAGTAGGTGTTGGTGTATAATTGTAGTACGGAGTGGTGGCATCTTGAATGAGTGCGTGTTTGAGTGCTAGTTTTTGGTGAATGACATTGGCCAACTGGTTGTCTGTGAGTTATTATTATTATTATTATATTCTCTGTACTTTTCTATAACCTGATCTGAATCCCGCTTGTTCCTTTGGTTGCTGTTTATCAATGTCGTCGGATATTCTCTTTAGTATTACGGATGAAAATAATTTGTATATACTTACCATCAGACTTATGGGTCTATAATTCCTTATGTTCAAGGGGGTTTCCTTTTTTGAAGAGCAGAATTATTTCTGATGTACACCATTGTGTTGGTTCTTTTTCTGCGTCTAGTATCATGTTAAATAGTTGCGTTAAATGGCGGATTAAGATGGGCGCTCCAATTTTAGGGCTTCATTGCATATTCCATCTGGTTCGGGACTCTTCTCAGCCTTCAGCTTATTGACATATTCGTAAACTTCGAAGTCTTCAATTGGTTTGATGCTGTCACTCGTATTTTTGTGGGTTGCTTGCGTTTCCATTTCCGTGTTATTTTGTTTGGTGTATAAGTTTTTGTAAAACTTTGTTGCATGGCTTATTACATCTCTTCTAGAATTTGCGTCTTGTGAGTTTTGCTCAAGTTTCTGAATCCATGATTTGAATGTAGTTAATTCTTTATAGGCTTTTTTGGCACTCCTAAAATTCTCGATGTTTCTTGAAATAATCTCATATCTGTGATTGTTGTGGTCATTACGGATTGATTTATTACCCTCTTTGTATATTCTGCCAAGTTTTTCTTTCATCTCTTTGGTTTTATTCTTTGTGTGTAGTAGTTCCGAGCGCCTTTTTATAAGTTGGACTGTGTCATCAGAGAAAATATTATGTTGATGAGGATTTGTAGTGTTTTTGCATTTTAAGCTTTCTGTTATACCTCTTTCTAGGATATTGTAATATGTTTGGGTGTCAATGCACTCTGTTTCTATATATTCCGTGTGTCCACGTAGATTTTCGATGTAATTTTTGATTTCTGCTTCTGTCTTGGGGGTTTTTAGTGGAGTTGTGTATGTTTTTCTGCTCTTTATTGGGCGATTTAAGCGTAGTGTTGCTCTCACTAATCTGTGATTAGAAGAGAAATTGAGTTTGCTTAGTACTTCAATATTAGTTACAAGCTTATGGTGGTTTGTCATTATAAAATTTATTTAATTTTTAGTTTTTTGGTCAGGCGATAACCATGTCCATCTTCGGTTCTCCTTCTTTTTAAAAAATGAGTTCATAATTGACAATTTGTGTTGATAAGCGTAGCTTAAGAGACGTTCACCTCTTTCATTGCATGCTCCTTAACCATGTTTTCCCATTGTTGGGTAATAGTTTGCTTGTGGACAACTAATTTTAGAATTGAAATCTCCCATGACTATAACCTTTCCTTCGGTCTTGGTGTGAGCATATTCAATGTCATTGTAGAATTCTTCAATTTCTTCTTCCATTGATCTCTCAGTCTTCACTGACTGACTGAATTATTGATAAGGAGAAGCATTCAAATTTTACTTGTAAGAGTGCTACTCTTTCTGAGATTCCTATAAAGTTGGTATCGTTGTTTTTATATTTTTTCTTGATCGGAAATCCTACTCCATGTAGTCATTTGGTTTCACCGATGTAACAAAAAATAAATTCGTTGTATTCTTCGATCTCACATCCCATTTTTTCGGATTTCTGCGAGTCCTAGAATATCCCAGTTGATATTTTTTAAAGCATTAGTTAATTCAAGGAATCGTTTTGTAGATGCAAGTGATCTTACATTATAGGTGCAAATTTTGAAGGTTTGTTTTATATCTCGATCTGTTTCTGTATTTGGTGGAGGGTTGCAGTCTGATTTCCCACGATGACAAGTCGGGTTGGGGAATGTTTTGTTTCTGTTATCTTTAAGTTCTTGCTTATTTAGTGTTTTGTTCCGGTGGCTGATAGCAATTTCCTATGCTTTCTGATCAGTTGGCGAGTTGTCCGAAGGCAAAGAGTTGCTTCTATGCCTCATTAAATCAAAAGCATTTAGAGGATGTGTTTTAGTTGACACTTGTTCTTTACGGGGGTGTTCTTTTGCATTGGGTGAGATTGACAGTTCTCTTTTTGCGTTTCTCAATTCCTGATTTCCTCTGTTTGATAACTAGCTTGTCATAATTTATGTATGCATAATTTCCTTTGTTCCTTTTTTCTTCCAATTTGGGCTGTAGTTTCTTTCTCATGTCGAGGATTTCTTTCCAGTAGTCCTCAGACACATAAACATTTTCAGTTTCTTTTATTGAGTTTTTCTGCCAGAAGTTTACAAACGCCAGAAGGATTGGCCTGTACTTGCCATTTTCTATGTTGTTTTTGCCAATTCTGTATATCGTGTTTATGTCTCTGTCTTCTATGGTAATATCTAGATCGTTTTTAAATTTCTTTATAATGATTTCGATGAGATTGTCGGTCGATTTTTCAGTTTCTTTTACTCCATATAAAATGAGGTTATTTGACCTTGCATGTTTTTCTAGATTTTTTATATTTTCCTTTAATTTCTCATTTTCTGACTTTAACTCCTGCATTTCAACTCTGAAAGAATTTTTCATCGATTCGTGTCATGATGTCATCGGTTTGTTTTGACATTTCTATTTTAATTTGGTCGAAAAGAGATTGAAGGGTTTCCATTTTCGCTACTCTCCCTTGCATGGAGTGGAAAGTAATATTATAAGCCTTGGAAGAATTCTTCTAAGTTGTGAACGCAGCTTATTTAGTCTATGGTGGAACGAAACGCAATGTTCCGTTATAGGCTTAAAAGACACGTATCCAAGGCAAAAGTAATCTTTCTCTGATGTTGGTAGCACTGCTATATGTAAAAATTAATTATTGTTTATGTGTCAGAAGACAAAGTTATTTGCACATTGCACTTAGTACCCGGATGACCGAGCTTTGCTCGGTTTTTTTAAGTTACATTTATACACAAATTTCATGAATAATAGTTTTTGATCTTATTGACATAATAGAAAAAAACTGAACTGGTTATTTGAATAAAAAATCATGAGTGAAATTAGTTTAATTAAAATTTTCGTATTTTTAAAAAAATACTAAAAAAGGGCTCGAAATAATAGATTTTCTCACAAAAGAAGGGAACTTGAAAAAAAAAAAGGAAAAAAGTCAGACCCAAGACGGGACGCGAACCGCGGAACGCCGATATCACGCCCGAACAACATCCCATCTGAGCTATTACAATCGTTGGTAGTCTGTCAAATTTAACTTCTTTGTATCAGTTTTCTTATTGCCTGAAAACACGGACAAAAGGACATTTTCTAAAAATAAAACCTAGCTAGATCGATTTATTGCCCCCGAAACTCCCTGGACACTAAAATTTATGAAAATCGTTGGAGCCGTTTCCGAGATCCCTATTATATATATATATATATATATATATATATATACAAGAATTGCTCGTTTAAAGGTATAGGATTTTGTTCTGGGCAAAACACACACGATTTTTAATACTTTATTTGCACTTTTAGTCCTAATTTTTGGATACACTTGCACACTTTGTAGGTTATGCAGTTCTTAAACAGTTATGGATTTATATTTTCGGAGCACACTTTATGACGTTCGTACTATTCAAACACCGGAACCGGAAGCTCCATAACGCGCAACAATTTTTAGGTGGTTTGTTGAATTCAAAAGGTTAAATTAAAAAAAGCGAAAAACAAACTCATGTGGATCGGTGCCATGAAATGCGTCTACGTTTTGAAAAGAACTCAGAAGGACAGTTATCAACAAAACAGCAAAAGACCTCGCAACGTTGGCAACAAAATGGTGGCTAGTTTTTTTCGCGGAGCGGACATTTGTCAACGTCAATGCTGGAAAATTGTAGGTCAGTCAACCTTGGTTCTTGGTTCACTGATTCATTCACTGCAAATGTAACTTTGTAATCCTATATATTTATATGGGATTACAAAGTTATAGGTAGTTAGTGTACCTAGAAAACTGGACCGAAATTGAAAAGTTATTTTAGTTTTTCCTTAATTTATACACTAAACACTAATTGTTTATTTTTGATAATATATATTTTTTAGTTTATGATAGCACGGACTAAGCCATTTAAAATATTTAATAATAATCACTGGATATTTTTTATTTTTTTGACGTAAATAACAAACTAAAGACAAAAAAAATATCATAAAAACTAATGTTAAATAGTGTTCCCTTACATGATCATGATATGTAAATAATATAATGGAGAAAAGGTAGGCATCAGACTTCAGAGCATAGGCGGTAGAGGAGAAAAGTTCAACTTTTTGCAGGGCAGATAAGTGTACTTTACTCGTCCTCGAATTTCCCTCATATGTTCGGCAAATAGAAAAACAAAACAGAAATATATACTTTAGGGCTTAAATATTCACTTTGTCGATTTCTATTGAGAGAGAGATCTAATTGCATTTGAAGCCCTGACTTATATTTATGCCTGCTGAAGAATACATTACGAGAAAATTTACACTTGTAACAGATTTTAAATATTTTGAGGCACAATGGGGTCTGCTAATTTGGGCTGTTTTTCTCTTATAAATTAAAAAAATGGTTCCCAGTGGATGTATACTGTTTCTGTGTTTTTTACTTCATAATATTCGTACATATGCAAGTAAATAACAACAAAATTTACTACTACGTTACTTAAGTATCATTCACACATTTTACACAAGGTGGACGGACTCCGTTTTACTCTAGGAGACGTTTGAGTAGGAACCACCATTTCACCTATTTCTGCTGCCAATAAAAAAGTGACTGCAGTGCTGTATTCTGATCTGAATGGTAAAGAGAGCATAATTTCATGCTGTGAGACATTCTATCTTATCCTCAGGGGTGACTATCTGTAGCTTGATTTGTTTCCAGATGGCTGCAGGTGTCTATGGACTGCATAAGCCATTTACCATCAGGTGAATTGTTCGTTTGTCATCTTAGTTTTATTTAAAAAAAAAAAACAGTAATTTAATGATTATAATGCTTTGTACCGACCACTTGACCTACCCGTAGAACATACCTATTTAGATAGATTCCATTATTGCAATTTATATTCTTAATAGACTTAACTTTTATATTTATTTTTAGCTCTCCCCCTCTTCCCCCCTCCGACTAGTGTTTATGTATGTTAGGTATAGGTAGAATAAAGTAAATTGTCTAATTAAAGACATAGAAGAAGCAAAATGTCTCCTTCAGTAATAAATTACGAATAATAAACTCGTTATTTCGACTCACTATAAGTGGGCGACCGAGAGGGACATGATTTAGTGTTATTGGTACTCTGCCCCAAAAATGAGTAAATGTGTAAGATAAGGTATGAAAGATGGTCAGAAGTTACGATACGTTTAATTTTGTGCCTATGCCTGCAGGTGTATACCAAAACAATAAAATATAAAATATGCCATTTTTATTTGCTAGACTATTATTTAGTTGCTGGCTATTATTTTGGGCTGTTTTTTATACAGAACACGCGTGACAAACGAGCACACAGTCCACCTGGTGGTAAGTGGACGCTATGGCCCACAGACATCTAGTCATTTCATTTTTTCATATCATCATCTCATCGATCATTCCTCGATTAAGAATCAAAATGCAGATGCATTGTTACCGCTAAGGACTAAGATGGAATGCCTTTTATCCAGTATAAAATGTATGGGATAGATGACGATGGCTATGAATTACAGCATTTATTTACTATAAGGTAGACTATGTGTTCGTTTGTACGCTTATTGTAAGCCCTTATAAGAATGTTATATCATATCTTCAGTATTGCATT